AAATATAGTAGATTAAAAAATTAATCTAAAAAACCACATTTTGAAAAAGGAAAAAATAACCTTAAACGTGGTGCGCATGGAGATTGTTGGGAAGAAGTGAAATACAAATGAAATAGATGCGCACCACGTTTAAGGTTATTTTTTCCTTTTTCAAAACGTGGTTTTTTAGATGAATTTTTTAATCTACTAAATTTTTTTAGCTAGCCTTTTTGTAGTTGTGTATTTTTTGGGAGGAGCTCTTTTAAATATATGCTGGACTTCTGAGACTGGAAAATGTGATGCGTAATGATGAAGCACAGGGTGTTTTTTTTTTAAACAAAACTTTGCAAAATTTAGTTCTAAACAACAGTATTTAAAAGCTTTCCTATTTTGAAAAAAAAAATAATAATAAATAAAATCTTGGTAAATTTTTGGAATATTTTTGCTGCTTTTGAACAGGCGGAAGAAGACACGGAGTCGCGTCGGTATGCGACAGCCAAATTGGTGGTTGACGTGTTGGCTGTCGACGCGAATCCGCCGGAAATACAAGTGTCGTCCATTGTGGGCTATGCCAAGGAGAATTCCCCCGTCGGCACTGTCGTCATGTCGACCCAGAATCTGCGGAATCCGATCACACTCCAGGTGTTCGACCGAGACATGGTGACTGATTTCATCTCCCCCTTTTTTTTCTCTTGCCCCTGAGCTATATAAAGGAAATGTATAAAAAAAAAGTGCAAATGTAGGGAATTGAACATTTAATTTTGCCAAATACAATTATGCAAAATTCAAAAGTTATTAAAGAGGATTTTTCTGATGCGCATTTCCGGGACATTGATAATTGCTACGCATTTTTAAAAACGTGATCGAGGACAATAGAGGCAAATTCAGGGGATTTTTGCATTGAATTTTGCGACAAGAATTTATGCAAAAATTCAGGGAAGTCAAAATAACTTTTCTGAGGTTCATTTCCAGGCCATCGATGAACTTTGATAATTGATACGCCATCATTAGAAACGTGATCAATAACATTAAAGGTGGATGTAGGGTTATTTAAAATTTTAAATTTGGCGAAATAAATTTAGGCAAAAATTCAGGGAAGACCAAATAATATTTTTGCGATGCGTCTTCTATATAGACATTATTGTCGCAAAAAAATAAATGGTTGTAATCATCACACAAAATCAGAGAACCTGAATTCTTGGGAAAATCCTCTTCCTTTTATCTTTGTGAGAATCAAGGAAAACCTTGGTTCTCAAGTTTCTTTCAGAAGCCTTCAAGGTTGTCTTTTACTGCTAAAATCCGGTTGCTGTTTTTTTTTTGTCCTTGATGGACAGTTTTCCTGTTTTCCGAATCTGCATGCAAACTTCACTTCCATTTGAGCTCTTGTGTGATTCACTTGATCATTTTACTCGTAAAACCTTTTTGTGCGTGATTTGAACATTCTCAAAGTACAACAACTTTAAAATAGGGTGAATTTTCACGCCGGTTTCAGCCCGGCCAAATTCTATTATTTCATTTTTATAAATAATCTGAAATTCAACCTTTTTTTCCTCAACATCTATATTTGTCAAGGATTTATTCCTGACAATTATGAACCTTGATGATTGAAGCGCGTCTTTATATAGAAACATTCATCAAGAACACATTAAATGTAGGGAACTTGAAATGTAATTTTGCAAAATGAAATTCTGCAAAAATTCAGGTAAGTTGAAGAAAAAACTTTTCCGTTATTACGTGCGTCTCCAAGACTTTCGTGAGCCGTGATAATTGATACGCATCTTTAGAAACGTCATCTATACTTTGTCTCTCTTGCTTTATTTTTACTCATTCTACTTGTTTATATATTTTTTTTAATATTGACAGACTGCAGGGGACCCGATACTGAATTACAAATTCGAATTGACCACGACAGCCTTTGCTGTCAACACTGAAGGGGTTCTGGTGGTCAATGAACCGAACCTGGATCGGGAAGGACCCAACAATGGACGCTATAGTTTTCAGGTAACAATAAGTTTAAAGAAATATTTTTTTATTTCTGTATATATGCACTTTTTTAGGGAACTATATTTGATTGACAGTAATGTCGGAAATTTAACTATATATATATTTTTCAATAATTTCGGTTATTTGATGGACAGTAATGTCGGAAATTTAACTATATATATTTTTTTAATAATTTCGGTTATTTGATGGACAAAAAAATATGCTTTCAAAGTTTTCCATATAGGCAAGCTTTTTGGGCTAATTTAAAAAAGTGTCTTTCTGTATTATTTTTTGCGCTGTTTCTTATAAGAATAAGCTAAATTGAGAAAAAAAAATAATTGGAGAAGTGGAGAAGGAATTTTTACTTGAGCAAAGTTGGATAGTGGAAGTTTTCTAATAACAAGTAAAGTATAAACAATGTCCAGCACCTTTTGAAGTTATGGTCAAAAACTGTGTCTCTCAAAAATAATTCAACATACAATACTAACTGTTGCGAATTTTTTAGTTCTATTTTTAGCGAACAAGATTGAGAACCCGAATTCTCGTCCTTGAGGACAAATTCCACTTTCTGTGAGAACCTCAGAAAACCTTGGTTCTCACGGAACTTATGGAAGCCTCCAAGGCTGCCTTTCTCTGCTAATCCTATTGCTAAATCTCGTCCTTGTAGGACAGTTTTCCTGTTTCCGAAAAACATAATGTTCTACACAGTCCAGTCTCTGCTTTTGAGTGTGAGGTTACTCCGAGATTTCGCGAGCAATTCTCATCAAGTGTTATCCAATCTCTCAAATATATCAACTTTATAATAGGGTGTTTTCACCCTGGTTGCAGCCCGACCAAATTCTCGTGTTTCATTTCAAAACTTCCATCCTGAGATTCATTTCCAAAAGTTCTAAAAACTAAATTCATTATTTGTTGGGTTTATTCCTGACACTAACTTCAATATAGGTTAGTGTCTATTTAATATTAAGGCATAAATAAAACATAAGTTAATGTGCAACCTGTAGATAATTTGATCTTTTTTATGTCAGCACCCAATTCTTATTTAATTGATTGAACCTTTGACCCTATTTATAAAAAAATCGTTTCTGCTGGAAAGTTTGTCTTGAGGTTATTTTCCTATTTCCGGTATATTTTTTATCGCCTAATTTTCAATTTTTATTTTTCTTTATTTTTGAACCTGCCTATTTGTTTTTTGCGTACACCTAGTACTAGGTCATATCTCCATAAGTTAGAAAGTCAAACAAATGCACATTTTATGTAAAAATTTATTGAAACTGGTTTTTAATTGCAGTTGTTTGCAAGAGAAATTGGAGGAGAAGCAGCAAGCAGTCCAGTCTCAATGGTTGTGCATCTTTTGGATGTCAATGATAATGAGCCAGTGTTGCCAACGTACCCACAAATCACTGTTCAAGCAGGAGACGGACGCCGGAACATCCTCAGGGTAAGAATATGAGGATTTTTGCAACACTGTATATCCACTTCATTATTTTTTAATGGATACGGAAAATTGGAATGTGTTGTGAAAGCGGGTGTAAATTTTTCATAAAAATTATTTGAACATTGACATACAATTTTGGGCTATTTTTCAAAATTAAAAATTTTCAACAAATTATTTAAGAAAAATGAACACTGGAATTTACCCATGAATAAAAATTAGATCAAATTTTTTTTTAGCCTTCGTGAATATTTATTCAAACATTAATTTGAGGCTAAAATAAAGTTTTTTTTAGCAGGATTTTGATTTGAAAAGATGCAATGCGTGATCAATGAAATGAGGGAACACTGTTTTTTGTGCAGATGAATAGGCAGATGAAACCACACTCTGCTACCAATTTATATTGGGCACAAAAGGCCTCAATATAATTTGATGCCAAGTATCTAATTGATGAACAATAAAACAAGTTGATCAGTCTGGGACAGGACCAGGATTCCGTTTTGGAATTCCTATGTTAACGGGATAAACTGTATTTCACACAAGTATAAACAAATAAACAACTCAACAAGCTCAACTTGTAGGAATAAGTTTTGGAATAACTTGAATAACACAGTTTAACCGAATCTGATGATCAAAGAAAAGTGCTCCTTATATATGATAATTAATAATCAACCTTCACATGGTTTGACTTTAGAATCAGAATAGAGAAAGTTATTGTCAAAGATGCTGCCATGGCAGGATGTTCCTGGTACTGCGATTTTGAGGAGGGGGAAATACTTTTACTTACAGGAATTATTTTAGAGTATGTTACTGTACATGATGTGCATGCCCAACATTCTTCATTAAATTTTCCTGCAAAAATATCTGGTTCACGTCTATTACTCAAGAACGCGTGAAAATCTGTACGTATTCATTTCATTTTAACCATTTTTCTTTGATTTGAAGCCCTCTAATATATGATAGTGTCTCTCCTATTTACATGTTCGTGCTGCAGATAATTTTTATTTTTATTTTTATTTGGTCATTCCTTTCGTTGATGTGTTTGAACAGATCCAAGCAAAGGACGAAGACGAAGGCGGGAATGCAGAGGTCAAATATTCCATTTACCACGTCTCCAACAATGGGAAAAACAAGTTCGAGATCAATGAAACAACTGGAGATTTTCAAGTCGTCCGCCGAGTCAATTCTGGAGAACAATACAGTGTCACAGTGCAGGTGAGAACATGCGCAGGAGAAAAAAAAAACAATAATATCTAAATCCCGTTATTTTGAGTTCAAAAAAATAATAATACACTTGCATTTCTTGAGCTTCCTTTAAAAATGCATCATTTAAATTTATTCCTCTTGCCGTATTTGTATTCACGCAAATAAATAGGCAGCGCGAATTCGGGAGGAAAAATCTGTATTCTATAAATGCCAAGAAAAAACAATGTCTATATTACTGTATTGAAAAAAAGCTGTGGGCAAGCAAAGGATTTTCATTTGATCTGCAAAATTCTACCAAAAGGTTTCTTTTCACACTTGGAAATTATTTTTATTTCATTTATTATGATACAGTATATTAGTTAGAAAATTGAAGACTGAACAATGTTTGAAATGCTTTGGCAATTTTAAATTTCAAGAAATAGTCCATTTTTTGACAGATATAGGAGACATTTCTCTTGAGTATAGGCCGCATCCTTCAAGCCAGTGCGGCCTATACACTGATTCTGCAATTTTTAGGCTCAAAAACATTTTTCAATAACATTTTTTACTTTTTTGGGGTTTATAATTGAGTGAAAATTATTATTCTTTTGAGGTATAATCTGATGTGAATTTGAAAAGGTTCATAAAGAAGTGAGCCTCTTGAACTTACAGTAGTTTTGAATATATGTCTGACTTATTGCATTTCTTGCTTGTATAAACATGCTCTGGAAACTCAGATTCCAGATCTTGTAACATTTTCAAACATATCTTCTGTTTTTTTCAGAAAATACATCAATGAGTTTTTCAAACTTATGATGAAATGCATGCCTTTCAGATTAAAATTTCATTATATTATTGCAGGCAACTGATCAAGGAGGGAAATTCAGTCACACAATTGTGGAAGTTGTAATAACACCTGGACCAAACAAGGCTGGGCCAGTTTTCCGCACTGAGCTGTATGATGTGAAAGTTAGTGAAGGAGCTGCACCTGGAACATCTGTCTTGAGCCTGAATGTAAGTCCAGTGATAATTTCATTATTTTTTCTTTATTATCAAGCACATTTCATAAACATTTTCATATTTTGTTTATTGCAGGCAAATGATCCTGAAAATGAGAGAGTGACGTATAACATTGTCAAGGGCAATGAAAGGCAGCATTTTGTCATAAGAGGAGACTCTGGGAACATTTTGGTCAACAGCATGCTGGACAGAGAGTCACTTTCTAGATACTCTTTGGTAAGTTTATTTTGATTGTCTTCTGAATGGTACAAAAGAATGCCATCATTTGATGCTAGATGACTTTGAAATATGTAGAAAAAGGTTATATATTGTATTCTATGGAAGTGAAATTGATTACTGAAAATTTAAAACAATATAGAAAATTAATCATCTGAAGTAGCCATACAGGTTCATTCAAGTTTTTCTTTTTATCCTCAAGTTGGCCATTGCTTTTTTTTGGTGACTTCAGAATTGCCTTTTGGGTTTTCTCATCATTTTAAATACAGCTTGTGAACCATATCTTTTTTGAATTTCAGGTGGTCAGAGCTGAAGACCCTCAAGGTCTTTCCAGCTCCGCAACTGTCAACATCAAGGTGATGGACATCAATGACAAGAATCCAATTTTCACTCACCTTCCTTATGAATTTGAGATTTCTGAAGGAAAAGCTGATGCCTATGTTGGCACAGTAAAGGTAAAGAATCATTTATTGGTACTTCTAAAAAAAGTATCTGAAGAAACATATGAAAATACTCTGTTAAAATGCTGCTTGGTTTCCAGACCAAGTTCATTACTACAGATTTTAACATTAATATCTTCAGTCACAGAAGAGCAGCTCAGAAAATAAGTAAAAGAGTACAATAGCAATTGGATAATTACAAGGAGCACAACAGAACATTTGAGACAGAGAAAGAGCAGGGCACAAAGCTCAGAGCGGTAACAAACATATTTGAGGAAAAGTGTCAAAAAGATCAATTGTGTAAAGAGCATCTTCTCTTTTGTACAAAAGAGCAAATTCATCAAAGAAAAGGTTTAAAAATATAACAAATATATATTCCCTAACTTGAGTTAACCCTGCTAAATTACCTATTCAATTCTCAATCAATGATGCTTAATTCAATCATACATTTCACACCTGCTGTTCTTGAAAGCTGCTCTTTTGATTTACTTTCTTTTGTTCCTTAATCATATGTCTTTTCCTCTATCATATGTCTTTTAAATTGTGCTTTTTAGCAAATTTCTATTTTGAAGTTTAGCTCTTTGGATAATTGATCTTTTTAGTCTAGATCTTTTGAAGTGCGCTCTTCTTAGTCTGGCTCTATAGATGCCAGCTCTTTTGTGTCTGTCTCTTTAGAGTCTAACTTGTTGAAATCTGGCTCTTTAGAGTCTGGCTTTGTAGAGTCTGGCTTGGTAGTACTGTATAGTCTGGCTCTATTCTGTCTGGCTCTCTCCTGTCTGTCTCTCTTCTGTCTGGCTCTCTTCTGTCTGTCTCTCTTCTGTCTGGCTCTCTTCTGTCTGGCTCTCTTTTGTCTGGCTCTCTTCTGCCTGGCTCTCTTTTGTCTGGCTCTCTTCTTTCTGGCTCTCTTCTGTCTGGCTCTCTTCTGTCTGGCTCTCTTTTGTCTGGCTCTCTTCTGTCTGGCTCTCTTTTGTCTGGCTCTCTTTTGTCTGGCTTTCTTCTGTCTGGCTCTCTTTTGTCTGGCTCTCTTCTGTCTGGCTCTCTTCTGTCGGGCTCTCTTCTGTTTGGCTCTCTTCTATCTGCCTCTCTTCAGTCTGGCTCTCTTCAGTCTTGCTCTCTTCAGGTATTCTAGTGAAAATTTGAATACTGACATATTTGAAAGCAAATTGAAAACTCGCACAAAAATTTATTGAATCCAGGCAGTGGACGATGACTTGAACGAGAATGCCTTAGTTGTCTACTCCGTGCCAGAAGATTCTCCATTTGGCATTGATGTGAATTCTGGAGACCTTTTCACCAAACGAGCCTTGGATTACGAAACTGATAAGGTTAGTTATCAAATTTCACTCAATTTCCGTTTGTTTTTTCCCATTTCAACGTGTCTGCATTTTTTAAAAACTGTATTTAAGGTACACTATGTGGTGGTGACAGCAAAAGATTCTGCGACAGACCCAAGGATTTCCACTGCCACTGCGACTGTTCGTGTTCGAGACATGCCAGATGAACCTCCAGTTTTCAAAAAAACTCTTTATGAAGCAAATGTGCAAGAGAACAGGGCGAATATTGATGTCATTCGTGTCGAGGTCAGCTCATCCTTTCTTCAATTATCTTTTTTTAAATGTTTTTTTCTCCCCCTGTGCAGTACTTGGAACAGTATCTCTTGTCTTCCCTTTGAGAAGAAAAGTGCGAGATCCTTTCTTTGGACCTCTGGGCAGTAAAAATAATTTTTAGGTCCCACTTATGAAAAATTAATTTTTTTTCTTGATGCCCTCTTTTGATGGATAAAAAAGCCATTTCTCCTCCAATTTTCTTTAATAACGTTTCCAATTACATTTTTCTTTCTAAGAATGCACAACTTTTAGTTTAATTATGCTTGTACTGATTTGAAAATGTTTCAGTCTTTCAGATTAGAGAAAAAATCTTTCCCATGTTTTATAAATTCAGCACAAAAGTCTAAATCTTATTTCATGGATTTTTGCGTTTTTTCAACTGCATTTTTTCATTATAAAAAAATTATCAGACATTCAGGTTTTTAAGACTGGGTACAAACAAGTGTTTTAAAACTTTGTTTATTATACTGTGGTTGAAAGATATGTTCAACTTTCCTTGCCTTTCTAAAAATTAACTTGCCAGATTTTTCTACATCATAAATAAAATATGGCCAGACCATCATCCAAGTGCGTCTTGGTATAACACCTGTCCATTTTTTAAAAGTATAGCAGATTATCCAAGTATTAAAACTTTTATTTTTGAATTATTAAAAAAGATTGCCTGATTCTACCTTGGGTGGCATCTTTGGGAGCTGCAAACTTCTGGGTTCTGAGTTTACCAGTTTATGACATATAGCTGTATGATTCTTGTGAATATCATTTCAGGCTTTTGATCCAGATGAGGAGTCCAGCATAACCTACACAATTTTGGAAGGTTCTGAAAGGTTCATCATAGACCCAAGGACTGGGTTGATTCGCACTCACCAAGAACTGGACTTTGAGAGGGCTGAAATGCATAGAATCATTGTGGGAACCAAAGAGAATCTGAGTGACAGTCCTGATGCTTCAGCTACTGTTTTGGTCAGGGTTCAAGTGAGTACAGCATATATACATTTGAAAGAATTTATCAACATTCAATGCTTTTTTTTAATGCAGTATTGGTCTACTGTATGAATCCTTTTATTGGGACCTCTTGAAGTGAAGGCTACATTACAAATATATCACTGAACATGACCAGCCTATAATCAGTCCCACACAGTGAAATCCATATTCTTTCATATCATAAAATAATCTAACAAAAAACATTTCCAGGGATATATTCATATGAAGACTTTTGGTAATCTTTCAGATTTCAAGTATCTTTTGTTTTCTATACTCTAGTCTAGTCAACTAGAGCAATTGTTTCCCTTGTTCATTTTTTTATAATTTACTATTGATAACATAGGATTTGAATGATATCCCACCATCATTCACATTGCTGCCATTGCCAGTGAAACTCAGAGACATTGACAGGATTGGCACTGTGATTGCCAACATTCAAGCCACTGATGCGGATGGAACATCAGCTAACAATCATGTAAGTATTGTTACCTTTTTTCTTCTCATTTCAAAAGTTTAAAAAATGATTTTTTTATGAATCTCAGGTTAGTTATGAAGTTGTTGGGACATCAAAAGCCAGCAATTACTTCATGGTCTCCAGGAACACTGGTGAGATCACTCTGAAGGATGATTTGAGGAAAGAAAGAGACACAGAGTACAAGGTCAGTAAATCATATTTTCTAGTATAGCAAGTGGCAGAAGACACATTTGTTAAACAAATGTATGTCCTATTGTTTGATGCCATTTCTTCAATTGTGAAAATGTTCTTACTTTTGATTCTGCTGAATTATAGTTTAAAACTATGCATATACTTCAGTGAATAACTATGACTTGTTGTCATATGATTGCAACTACTGTGAACTTGCTTCATAAAAAGTACTTCAAGTGCACTCACTCAAACAAAATTTGATTTTGTGTTATTTTGGCTACTAACAGTGTGCAATAAAAGGGCATTCTCCTTTCATTATTTGTATGTTGTAACCTAATGTGTCAATGCATCAAAATTTGGTTTTGCATGTCATGCATGACCCAATTTGGTCATCAATAAATACATATGCTCTTTGAGCAGAGACAAAGAACTTCTTGGCTGAACTTTGCCTAGATGCCACATCTGTGTCAAAAGTTTGCTTGTGTGAAATAAAAAGCCTTTGTACAGGCAAAGAGCTGTTATATAAGAAACTCCTCAAAGTGTTTTCCTGAACTGCCAAAGAACACAGAAAATCAATAAAATCTTCAAGTAATTTTGTTGATCGAGAGGATAGAGAAATACAGTAAACTAGATTTGCTGGATATAGGGATTAAAGGATTATGATTTTATTTCAGCCACTTGAGATAACATAACAGTCCACTTACTTTTTATTAACACGTTTTTATTAACTCGCTTTCTTGTCCGTTTGTTTGTCCAGATCAAATTTTGCAACTCAAATTTTGCTCACTTCCCAACTAATTGATTCTGCTGAATTATAGTTTAAAACTATGCATATACTTCAGTGAATAACTATGACTTGTTGTCATATGATTGCAACTACTGTGAACTTGCTTCATAAAAAGTACTTCAAGTGCACTCACTCAAAAAACATTTGATTTTGAGTTATTTTGGCTACTAACAATGTGCAACAAAAGGGCATTCTCCTTTCATTATTTTTATGTTGCAACCTAGTGTGTCAATGCATCCAAATTTGGTTTTGCATGTCATGCATGACCCAATTTGGTCATCAATAAATACATATGCTCTTTGAGCAGAGACAAAGAACTTCTTGGCTGAACATTGCCTAAATGCCACATCTGTGTTAAAAGTTTGCTTGTGTGAAATAAAAAGCCTTTGTACAGGCAAAGAACTGTTATATAAGAAACTCTCAAAATGTTTTCCTGAACTGCAAAAAAAAACACAGAAAATCAATAAAATCTTCAAGTAATTTTGTTGGTCAAGAGGATAGAGAAATACAGTAAACTAGATTTGCTGGATATAGGGATTAAAGGATTATGATTTTATCTCAGCCACTTGAGATAACAAAACAGTTCACTTACTTTTTTGTTCTTCAATAATGAAATGTCTGATCTCATTTTTCTCTTCTCATAAACCTTGCCTTTGATTTGAGTATGTTGAACAACTACAACTGTTTAAAGCTATGAAGTGAAGTTTGAAGGCATTTCAAAATTTAGGTAAAAAAAAAATTATTAAACTAACCCTATATTTCTTGATATTCCTCAGGTATTGGTGAGAGCATATGACAATGGAGACCCACAGTTGGCCACCACAGCAACAGTGACAATATTTGTTGAGCACCTTGTCACAATTCCTCCTGATGCTGGTGTTGGATTCACTGAGACTGAACACACAGTGGACTTGGTGGAGAATGCTGACAAGGCACACATTGTGAAGCGGTTGTCAGTCACCAACAAGCCTCCAGATGGCGTTCCTTTTGCCTGCACAATCCTGAATGGCAATGAAAAAGGTCAGTTGTGTCACCAAGGGTGACCCAAGCCCATGATGGAACAAATCTGCAGAACAGAAGGAAATTAAATGGATTCCAAAAGTGCTCCACAGCATCAATATTTTTAAAATGTTCTGGTCAGTGAATCTTGTCATTCATGAAATGCAGATATTTTATCAAACTTCATCAAAGTGGTTTTCTCCGATTAATTTTTTTTATTTTTGAAAATTCAATAACAATCAATTACAAAAATATTTTTAATAATCTGCAAGGAAAAATTGTTTGTCAAAAATGCAATGAATTATTTTATCAATTAAAGAACAGGTGAAGGGATTTTGGCATTTGGTCTTTTAACTCACAAACTTTTCGAATGACTTTACACTGGCAGATTTTATAGACATGGATGAGCGTGATTTCAAATGCATTTCAGTATAAGCTTCCTATTCTTTTTTGCATATAAAAAATTATAAAAAAAGGATCAATAAGTCATATATATTTCATTGACGATTGCAGACCACTTTTACGTGGTGACCACGGATGACCTGGACTGTGAAATCCGAGTGAAAGCAGCCGAAATCGACTATGAATGGATCCAAAAGTACGAACTGATCATCGGGATTGACACCCTCAGTGGATACATCAACGAACAGCGACACCAGGCCCGTGTCGTCATCCGTGTGGTTGACGACAATGATAACGTCCCCGAGTTTGTGTCGCCAAGGGCAGATGTCACTGGCAGCCGGTTCTTTTTTGCCGTTTCCGAAGACGCTCAAATTGGCACTTCCATCGCTCAAATTCAGGTGAAGAAAATTGTTTTTTGGTAGCTTTGATTTTTTTTTTGGTACAGTATTTCTTTTTTACTTTTTCACCCTCGAAATTGAAAAATCATGCAATAAAGCTGTGAATAAGCAAATAAAACCTACTTTCAGACTGTTTCATGGAAATGGGACTTGAATGAAATCGGAATGAAATGAGGCTTCCATAAAAATTTAACTAATTTATTATGTAATGAAGAGAATCTTAAGTAATTCATGCTTGTTCTGTTACAGGCCAGAGACAAGGACAGTGGAGTAAATGGACATCTGCACTATGAGCTTCTTACTGAGTCAAACCAGGGTGTTTACTTGGGTATTTCTGAGTCAACTGGGATCATCAGGAACAAGAAAACCCTGCTTCAAGTGCCTGCCCATGAACTGCCTTTCAAGCTCAAGGTGGTTGTCAAGGATACACCATTGAATCCAAATGACTCCAAGAATGCTTCAGCTCCAGTGATTGTAAGTGTTGAAAAAAAATAATTAGCTTTTACTTCTGGATAATTTGCCAACACCGACTTTTCAGCATTACAGTTTCATCAGTTGCACTTTACTGAAGTCAACCATGATAACAGATCACATGGCAAACACCAGTAAAATATGAAATATTAAAACTTGAAGTAACCCATGATCAAACTATTACATGAACATCTTACTTTACCTCATCCAGGTGAACATAGTGACTGAAACCAACAGGATGGTGTTGGTAGTGCAGTCTGCTGTTCCAGAAGAAATAAAAGCCCAAGAGAACACTCTCATCAGGATCATAGAAGAACATAGTGGATTCATTGTGGGTGTGGAGAAAATAGAACCAAGGCACTATGTCAGTCTCAACAACACAATGGAGATGGACCAAACTGGAACTGATGTCACATTCTATGCCATTCATCCACGCTCAGGGAAAATACTTCAACAAAATGATACCAGACTTCTGAAGTAAGTTGTGTTCAACTTCATCTTGATGGCTGAAACAAATTCAATCGTGGAGATTAATATAGAATGTTCTAAATTCATGGAGTCAGCAAGTGTGTTGGATGAGTGTAACTATGTATGTCTGCTGATTGGTTTTATTTTAATGAATAACATTTGTGTTTCTTCAGCAAACTGACTGGTCCTGATTCCCAGTCAAGTCTACTGTACTTCATCAATGGTAACTTGAGAGTGAGGGCCACAGAAGTAAGACAGCCTCTGAAGTTGGAAGAGTACAGATCTGTGAAGGTGACCAAGACCTTTCAAGACATTGACAACTTTCAGGCTGCCTTAATTGCACTTGCCTGCTTCATCTTCATTCTCTCTGTGCTTGCCATAGTCTACATTTGCTGCTTGTGGAAAAGGTGAGAGTATTATCTGAAAATTGTTGTTTCATAGATAAAAAGTCCCTATGCATATGAATGCCAAAAGGTACTTGACAAACAAGGAAGAGGTCAGAAGCTCTTTTATTGTCCCAACACCTTTTGAACCTGTTCACCATGACATCCAGCAGCTGAAGCAGTATGAAGTACAGGTATGACCATTGACATAATTATGGTTAATTGTTTAACATCATGCCTGGTCTGTGACAGACACTCAACATGAACTGCATGGATATGGATGATACTGAGCCATCACCTCCAGAGCCAGCAAGGATGGATATTTTCACCATCAGCTCAAATCTGAATCTCCATGAAGTGGATTATATCACCAAGGATCAAAAAAGTGAGAGACAAAATCTGGAAACACAAATAGTAAAATTTGGATCAGGATTTTCCTTTTTCTTGATTATTTTGGTGTCATTGTCCAATTGAATTTGCTCTGGCCTGACATCCTGAAATCAAAAGTAGGTGATCTTACCGTACTTACTCAAGTACCACGTGCACATTTTTTCCCAAATTTCAGAAGAAAAAAAGGGGTGCGCGTCATAAGTGGGTACAAAATTTTCAAGAAGTTTTAGGAAGTTATGTTAGCATTATACTTAATCATAATGGAGAAATTTGGAACAAATATAACAAGAAAGCATTTTTGCACTGAAAAAGTTGAAAATTGATCAGCTTTTTGTTCAATTCATGCCTAAAGTCAAATTTTTGTTTAAAAATTGATCAGATTTTTGTTCAATTCATGCCTAAAGTCAAATTTTTGTTTTTATTTTTGAAATTTTATGGTTTTAGATTCATTACAAATTGGGGTGCGCGTCTTACTTGGGGATAAGATTTTTGCAAAATTTTCAACTGAAAAACCCCTGTGTGCGCCTTACTCGAGGGCGCGTGGTACTCAAGTAATTACGGTATTTAGCAAAAAATCCACATGTTTTCTGAGTCCACTAAACTTTTCAGATACATAACATCACTTTTCATCTATATAAAAATATACTTTTTCGCATTATTTTCATGAAATATTGACCTTCTCAGAGCTATATGCTATTCAATAAGGTGTGTGGTGAAAAAAAGGGTTGATCCTTGATTTTTTTTTCCTGATCCTAAGGGTTGAAAGGGAACCCTTACCTTGTGGGTGAAGACACAGTGTCCAGTGACGCCACGGGTTCTGCTTCTGGCTGCAATGGAAGTGACGTGTCTTTCTCTGGTGGTTCCCAGTCCTCAGTGTGTGACAAAAAACACAGGCACAACTCAAATCAAAGGGATGTCATTGAGAGAAATGTGCATGAAGAATTGTGCTTGGAGCGCAATGGTCATTTGGCCTACAGAGAAACAGCCATTTGTAATGAGACCTCGGGGCAGAATTACTACAGCAGTGGAGGTGGCATGCGAAATCCTGCTTATGATGGGTTTGTATACTTTGTTGCTCTTGAATTAATATTCTACACTATTAAAAATTTGCACTTTACGCCTGTTGATTCTCTAACAATTTGAATCATTCCAAACAACTATATATACAGTACCTGGGACTAAAATTTTAGTTTATAAAGAAGTCTAAGTGCAGACACAAGTCAGAAATTGAGAATTTTGAAGTTTGTGCCCTACTTTTTTGCCAACCAACTTTGCAGCATTATATGTTTCTTGTACTTTACTTTTTGCTCATTTTGTGGATGAAACTTGGTTTTAACATCCTGGGTATAATATTGCTGTATTTCATCAAAAAAATTTAAAAATTTACAAAACCCTCCATTTCCAATTTTCAGGATCTTTACAATCCTGTTATAATCAGAGATCTTTTCATCATGACAATAATGTTTGTTTTAGTGATGCAAATTGTCAATATGTTCCTGGATCTTTCAAATAATAAGAAGATTTTGTCAAAATCAGAGCTGAATTTGAAGGAAATCCTCAGCCATTTAAAGGCAGAGGATTTTTGAGTGTTCTTAATGACTGTACAGTAATTGATTTTTTGTATTGAATTCTGGTTCAAAAACATTTCAAACACAAAAATAATGTACCTCCAAGTAAAGTACATGACAAAACTATTTAAATTATCCTTTTTACTTTAGGCAATCAGTAATTTAATGTTTGTTATTCATGTGAAACCATTTGACAAGTAATTACAGATATTACAGTAATTTACTTTGCTGAGGAAAACACTTTTGTAAAAATAAACAACTTTCTTTAGACCACAGTCAAACAATAACTGCTGATTTATCTTCTGACAATTCACCCAAAGAGCTTATATATGGCAAAGCAGCACACAATGAACAAAATGTGAATATGAAACCACAGAGTTTTTAGTATAACTGAAAATTTATAAAATTCCTGAGACTTCTGGTTCAGTGGTTCCACCAGCACTCCCCAGTAACATAAATCACTTTACCTACAATTGATATGATTATACCCAACATCCAAGCAGTTTTAGAAAAAATTGTAATGAGCCTCAAATTATTGTTTGATTGGCACAGGTCCTCAGATGAGGAACCACCAATGAGCCAGAGCACAACCAATGAGAACGTCATGTTCCGGGGCCGGCGGGACCAAACAGAGCACCAGGGTGGTACCAAATTCCGAGTCGCGGGCACCACTGCTCATCCGGGGTACCCGTTTGTCAATGAGCGATCACCCATTGACTCCACCACGGAACTATAGCACTATATGACAACGAAAGCATAAATCAAGAAGAAGAAAAAAAACATGTGCTCATCATCATGGTCCAGGCCTGGTTTTGGTCAGTGAAACAAAATGTGGCCCATACCAACAGTAACATAATCCATCTTTTACATGGCCTCAAAATGTAAAAATAATCATAAACAGGCAGGGAAACTTGAGATATTTTTGCTGCAGCATTACTTTTCAATATATATATTTTTAAAGCAATGAGTCAATCATTCAAAGTAATCAAAATATATTTGGCTCAGAAAATGTTCCTTTTTGGTGAAGGTAAAAGTGCTCAAAAATTTGAAATTATCCAAAAAACAGCTTGAACTTTGGATGATCAGATTAAATAAAAAAATATACCCCATCAGCATACTAAAATGTTTTGACAAAACCCTATGTGTCATTTGTTCTATTGCATAATCCTTCCAAGGATGTTTAACTGATGGCTGTAAATGTCTGCAACTTCAATTTATTTATCCTGTATTCAGACAGGATTGGATTCTCTTCCCTTTTTTGATAAATGGCTGACTTATGTTTACATTCCCTTATATTTTCTTCTTCTGCAAAGTTCATTCCATAAATTGTGTAATGCCTATAAAAGCTTCTTTGCAATGTTTAATTTTTTTAATGTCTGGCATCCAATAAAAATTCAACTTCTGAGAAGACTATATTTTTGACTCAAATTATAATTAGCAGTATTCAGAAACCGCAGATGTATAAAAAGAGGTTATGTTGGATGGGTTACACTGTTACACTACTGCTGAAGGGTCTTTCCAAAGTTGGTGATGGTTGGATTATGAGAGTGAAGAGAACTTTGTGGCTAAGATTTTCCTACTTTTTTTTCTATTCTTCTATAAATCTGCACAAAAAAGCAGATGAAAAAGCCATTCCTCAAACTTTGAGACTTTGTCTTCCCCAAAAGATTTCTGCTCATATTGTGAATGAAAACATGCAGCAGGGAGCAACATGCATAGTTGGCATCACTGTGAGGTGCCATGTTTATCCTCTTTTTTCCAATATTAAATCTGATTTCATCCTTCAGTTTCTGTTGGACCAACGAATCTATTCGTGTGTCAGATTTGTCGTGAATGTTGTTTTTGAGCATTGGTGCTATATTTTATTAATTTTTCCGTCGTGATTCAAGAAAGTTTGGGTTTTTTTCTGCCGTGATTTGGCAAACTTGCGATGTTGTTCCGTCCATGAGAGAAAATGCTTGTGTCATTCCGCGGTTTGAGGAACTGCGATGCGTTGTGAGGGTAATGAACTGCCGTCCGAGGAATTTAGAACACTCGCCGACTTGTTTTGGTCAGTTTTGAACCGGGGGCAATTGGTAGAAGTTCGGAGCTTCATCCGACACCTGCTCTGAAAGCTTTCACAAATTGTCTCAATATGAAAACTTGTTTAATAGATGTCGCTTAACAAGCTCGGCGACGTTTGCAAACCCTCCGCCTTCGCTCAAACATTTGCCGATGGTCAATGTTATTCAAAAGGACATTTAATCTTTATGTCTGGTTTTCTTCCCGCCCAGAGCGAGTAAATAACATGTTAATCAAAATATTGTACAGTGGAACTCAACGATGTGATTGCTATAATACTGTACTGTACATATATATAAAGCCCATGAGTTCAATTAACCATTATATTCAAACGAGGTTCAGAGTGAGCAAGGAAAAAGTGAAGTAGCCAGGACAATTATTTTGAACCAGATAATTTCCCTGTATACAGGGCCGGATTAAGGTGGGTGCTATTGATGCTGCAGCATTAGGCCCACAGGAAAAATAGGCCCTTGGAGAATTTGAAAAAATTTCTCAATTTGGGAAATCCAAATTTTTTTCAATTATGAAACTCTGGCAAAAGCAGGAAAGAGGCAAAAGTTTTCATGATGAAAAAAATCAGGCACCAAGAAATCAATTTCAGCACCTTGCAATTGACCTTCTCAGAGCTATATGCTATTCAATAAGGTGTGTGGTGAAAAAAAGGGTTGATCCTTGATTTTTTTTTCCTGATCCTAAGGGTTGAAAGGGAACCCTTACCTTGTGGGTGAAGACACAGTTTCCAGTGACGCCACGGGTTCTGCTTCTGGCTGCAATGGAAGTGACGTGTCTTTCTCTGGTGGTTCCCAGTCATCAGTATGTGACAAAAAACACAGGCACAACTCAAATCAAAGGGATGTCATCGAGAGAAGTGTGCATGAAGAATTGTGCTTGGAGCGCAATGGTCATTTGGCCTACAGAGAAACTGCCATTTGTAATGAGACCCCAGGGCAGAATTACTACAGCAGTGGAGGTGGCATGCGAAATCCTGCTTATGATGGGTTTGTATACTTTGCTGCACTTGAATTAATATTCTATTTAAAATTTGCACTTTACGCATGTATAGATGCAATAACAAGTTGAATCATTCCAAACCACTATATATACAGTACCTGGGACTAAAATTTTAGTTTATAAAGAAGTCTAAGTGCAGAAACAAGTCAGAAATTGAGAATTTTGAAGTTTGTGCCCTACTTTTTTGCCAACCAACTTTGCAGCATTATATGTTTCTTGTGCTTCACGTGTTGCTAATTTTGTGGATGGAACATGGTTTTAACATCCTGGGTATAATATTGTTGTATTTCATAAAAAAATTTACATAATTATAAAGCCCTCCATTTCCAATTTTCAGGATCTTTGCAATCCTGTTATAATCAGAGATCTTTTCATCAGTCATCATGTTTGTTTTAGTGATGCAAATTGTCAATATGTTCCTGGATCTTTCAAATAATAAGAAGATTTTGTCAAAATCAGAGCTGAATTTGAAGGAAATCCTCAGCCATTTAAAGGCAGAGGATTTTTGAGTGTTCTTAATGACTGTACAGTAATTGATTTTTGGTATTGAATTCTGGTTCAAAAACATTTCAAACACAAAAATAATGTACCTCCAAGTAAAGTACAAGACAAAACTATTTAAATTATCCTTTTTACTTTAGTCAATCAGTAATTTAATGTTTGTTATTCATGTGAAACCATTTGAAGAGTAATTACAGATATTAAATTAATTTACTTTGCTGAGGAAAACACTTTTGTAAAAATAAACAACTTTCTTTAGCCCACAGTCAAACAATAACTGCTGATTGATCTTCTGACAATTCATCCAAAGAGCTTATACTGTATATGGCAAAGCAGCACACAATGAACAAAATGTAAATATGATACCACAGAGTTTTTAGTATAACTGAAAATGCATAAAATGCCTGAGACTTCTGGTTCAGTGGTTCCACCAGCACTCCCCAGTAACATAAATCACTTTACCTACAATTGATATGATTATACCCAACATCCAAGCAGTTTTAGAAAAATTTTAATGAGCCTTAAATTATTGTTTGATTGACACAGGTCCTCAGATGAGGAACCACCAATGAGCCAGAGCACAACCAATGAGAACGTCATGTTCCGGGGCCGGCGGGACCAAACAGAGCACCAGGGTGGTACCAAATTCCGAGTCGCGGGCACCACTGACACAGGTCCTCAGATGAGGAACCACCAATGAGCCAGAGCACAACCAATGAGAACGTCATGTTCCGGGGCCGGCGGGACCAAACAGAGCACCAGGGTGGTACCAAATAGGCTCAGCGCCCGTGGTGACGAGTAGGCCCCATGGGCAAACAGTTACTCGCTAGTGGGTAACTGAGGTGGTGCCTTGATATCGTGATATACTGTTGCTTTCGTATTTAGTTCTTCTTCTTTTTTTTAACATGTGCTCATCATCATGGTCCAGGCCTGGTTTTGGTCAGTGAAACAAAATGTGACCCGTACCAACAGTAACATAATCCATCTTTTACATGGCCTCATAATGTAAAAATAATCATAAACAGGCAGGGAAACTTAAGATATTTTTGCTGCAGATGCATTAGTTTTCAATGTATATTTTTTAAAGTAATGAGTCAATCATTCAAAGTAATCAAAATTTATTTGGCTAAGAAAGTGTTCCTTTTTGGTGAAGGGAAAAGTGTTCAAAAATTTGAAATTATCCAAAAAACAGCTTGAATTTTGGATGATCAGATTAACTAAAAAAATATACCCCACCAGCATTTGACAAAACCCTTTGTGTCATTTGTTCTATTGCATAATCCTTCCAAGAATGCTTAACTGATGTCTGTAAATGTCTGCAACTTCAATTTCTTTATCCTGTATTCAGACAGGATTTGATGCTCTTCCTTTTTTTGATAAATGGCTGACTTATGTTTACATTCCCTTATATTTTCTTCTTCTGCAAAGGTCATTCCATAAATTGTGTAATGCCTATAAAAGCTTCTTTGCAATGTAATTTTTTTAATGTCTGGCATCCAATAAAAATTCAACTTCTGAGAAGACTATATTTTTGACTCAAATTATAATTAGCAGTATTCAGAAACCGCAGATGTATAAAAAGAGGTTATGTTGGATGGGTTACACTGTTACACTACTGCTGAAGGGTCTTTCCAAAGTTGGTGATGATTGGATTATGAGAGTGAAGAGAACTTTGTGGCTAAGATTTTCCTACTTTTTTTTCTATTCTTCTATAAATCTGCACAAAAAAGCAGATGAAAAAGCCATTCCTCAAACTTTGAGACTTTGTCTTCCCCAAAAGTTTTTTGCTCATATTGTGAATGAAAACATGCAGCAGGGAGCAACATGCACAGTTGGCATCACTGTGAGGTGCCATGTTTATCCTCTTTTTTCCAATTCGAAATCTGATTTCATCCTTCAGTTTCTGTTGGACCAACGAATCTATTCGTGTGTCAGATTTGTCGTGAATGTTGTTTTTGAGCATTGGTGCTATATTTTATTAATTTTTCCGTCGTGATTCAAGAAAGTTTGGGTTTTTTTCTGCCGTGATTTGGCAAACTTGCGATGTTGTTCCGTCCATGAGAGAAAATGCTTGTGTCATTCCGCGGTTTGAGGAACTGCGATGCGTTGTGAGGGTAATGAACTGCCGTCCGAGGAATTTAGAACACTCGCCGACTTGTTTTGGTCAGTTTTGAACCGGTGTAGCAGGCAGGGCGTACTCCCCAGGTACAGCGTACTCCCCCTGCAGGAGGATTAGTCCACATCCGCGGAGTGCGATTCAGCAGAGGCTCTTCTGCAGTGATCACTTATGCAGTGGTATCTTCCACAGAATTCAGAGGAAAGTTGATTCCACAGTGATTCTTGAAGCAGCATTTACTTTGGCAAAAATAATGATGAATTCTGCGGAAATCTATTTTCAGGAGAGGCCTTGGAGCTATCCCACTTGGGGGGAGCCATGCCCAAACCAATGCTCTCATAGATGTTGCTAAGAACAACACACAGAATGTTATCAGCAGCATCCATGTGTGGCTCTCAAAAATGAATCCTCTTTACCCCAATTATAAGGTCAGGTTATGTTAGTTAATAAT